CTATCCACTGCCTCTCAACAACCCCATGATTTAGATGGTACCAGTGCAATTATCTCCATTTTTGCAGATGTGAAAAGTGAGTCTCAGAGAATGGAACTGACTTGCTCAGGGGTCACGAAGCTATTAAGGAGCAGTGGTGGGATTTGAACCCAGATCATATGACTCCCATTCCTATCCTCTTTCCACTGCATCAAAGTGCCAAAGGGGTGAGGAGGGAGATGAGGTATAGAAGTTAGGTGGCATCTGGGTTTGAAGTCAGTCTTGGGCATTTCTAGCTGGGTGACCACAGGCAAGTCCTTTTGCTTGTCTAAGCCTCAGCTGCCTCATCTGCATAATGAGAATGATAACGCTGCAGCTATTACACCTACCACAGCAGTGGTAGGTATAATACTACAAAGCTCAAATGAGATCATTGTTGTTTTCCACGTTGCACAATCCTTAAAAGCCCTAAAAACATATAAATGCCAACTATTATCACTGTTTTTGGTATTTCTGAGTAAGGGACTAAGAGGACCAGAGCTGGACTTTAGGGCTTGGGGTTTAGAAGCCCATTCATTGCCTTTCCACTCTTTCAAATGTTCCCTTAATTATGGCACGGCTTTCAGATGTCAGCGAATGGAGCCAAGGGACTGAAGGCTACCACCACCTAACTGGTACCTTATGTCGTGTCATCATTATCGGCTCTGATTTACCCACTCCTCCTCCATGATCTCACCCTAAGCACAGCACCCCCTCCTCAGCCCAGCCTCTGCCCCTCTGGTGCATTCTTCGAACTCCATTTAATATTGGAAGTACCGGACCTAGGATGGCTAATTCAAACCAGAAAGAGAAACAAGAGACCAGCGGATAAAGGGTTGGGAAGGAGGGAAGACAGGCATGGATAGGGAGCACTGCTGGAAATCGGTGGGCTTGATAAGATGTAGGGGAACTGCAAAATATAAGTCCCCCCTTCTCTGCCTCCGTTCCATGACCTGCCCAAAGGATCTTTAAACAGACACAATAATCAGGATTATGATCTAGTGCTTTGAGAGGCGATGCAGCGTAGTGCATAGAAGGCGGGCCTCTGGCACATGTTAGCCCTGTGCCTCAGTGGCCCCAGGCAGCTCTTTCACACTGTAAGTTCTGGAATAAGGAAACTGTTTAGGGAAAGTGTAGAGAAAGAGGAAGTGAGATTCTTCTGGATTAGGGAATCGCTGCATCACAACATTTAGAGTGGGAGACGGCTGCCCGATAATCCGGCTCCAGTCTTTCACTGGACAGAGAGGAAAAGACATCTCCAAAAGTAGAAAGTAAGAGAGTGGAGATTTGAATCTGGGTCCTTGGAATCCAAAGTCCCAGCTCTCCCACTGCGCCAGAGTGCCTCCAAACCGGGAGGTGGCTCAGCTAATGACCTGTTAACAACCTGCCTTCAAACCAACTACAGTCACAAATCCATGCAGATATAGTACTACCATACCTTTATACCATATATATAGACCCCCATATGGGGTTGTGACCCACAGTTTAAGAAGCACTGGGTAGTGCAACCAAATATTCACAAGAAAAACTTGTGGAAATTTCAGGCAGCACCAGAGAAAAGAGCCCTGACAGGGGTGAACCAAAGACCTGGGCTCCTTCACTGAAGGAAACTCAGGAAACTTGTCGGCTTCTCAAGTCTCAGTCAACACCTCTGGAAAAGGAGAAGGTTTAACTAGATGTGGTCTCTGAGGGGCCTCCCAGCCCTGACATTCTATGTTCCAGGGTCCCTCTCAGCCCTGACATTCTATGTCCCAAGGTCCCTTCCAGTCAGGACATTCTATATCCCAAAGTCCCCTCCCAGACCTGACATTCTATGCCTCAGGGTCTCTTCCAGCTCTAACATTCTGGGCCCTAAGGGCCCTTCCTACACTAACACTATGTTCTAAAGTCCCTTCTGCCTGGCTCTGCCGTTCTGGGTTCTATGACTGTCTATCCACAGGACCGAAGGCAGGGTTTTGCTTGAGAATCCAGTCCAAAGATATTTTGCACAAGTAAAGAGCGACCCTTTGGAAAGAGGACTCAAGGAAAGCATTAAAGCTTTCTACCTTCTAACAAAGCACACAAAAAAAAAAACAACCAAAAAAAAAAAAACCTCCAAGAAAAAGTCTGACTGACAGCTGGTTCTTTAAAAAAAAAAAAGGAAGAAAGAAAAGGTCAGGCAGCGTTTGCACTCAGGGGCTGGTAATGTGGGAACTACTTTTCCTGTTTATTTAGCTGATGAGCTGTCAGGAAGGCAGCTACTTCAGTTGCTTTGCTGAGCATTACCAGCTTTAAGCAGAGCCAGGTGAAGGTGGGGCCCACGCCCCGCCCCTGAGCACCTCAATCTTCCCAGGTCAGTCCAAGCACTGGGGCTCAGTAGCCAGATCAGTCCAAAATTAAAACAATCCTAAGCATCTACTCTGTCCTAAGCACTGGGGATACAGAGGAAGTAGGCCTTGCCTTCAAGGAGTTTACATTTTGAGGAAAGGGATAGAACAGATGTACAAACAAATAGATACAATGTGATTTGAGGACAGAAAGCAAGAACTGGGAATTCCAGAACGCAAAAATCTCTGAAAAATCAGAATTCTGACCACTTGAAGGGCAATCTTTGAAACGCATGAAGGCTGCAGCATATATCTGTAAATTATAAAAAGCAACCATGGTCTCTGAGAAGGAGAGAGAATGGCCTTGGAGTGACATGAAGGGAAAACAGATGGACATGGTGAATGCTGCAATTCTACCCAGGGAATGTTCAAAGACGCCAAGGGAGGCTGCCAGCACCTTTGGAGGGGGTACCTTCAACTAACAGAATTTCCAGGGTATGAACAAGAAGAACCCACGATGGTAGGAAGGCAAGATGGGCTTGCTACATCCTCAGAGGCAGCACTCACATGCAAAAGACCACAGATTTGAAGTAGTCTAAAGTGGGTTCTGAGGACTGGAAGCCATGATGGCACATACTCTCCATTGCAAAGAGCCTCATTGCATATACATAGGTATATATGTGTGTATGTGCAATGAAGTATATGTATTATATATATATATATATTGTGTATAGCCATTGGAGGGCTGTGTTTTGCTTGATTATGAATATTTGAAACAAAAAAGTTTTTTCTTTTTTTTTCTTTTCTCGACAGAGTGGGGAATGAAATGAAAAGAAAATCGATTTCTGTTCATTTTTAAAAAAACAGAGGAAGGGTATTACAGATGTGAAATGTGTGTACTTTCAGATGAGGTCGCTGTATTATTATACTTAATACTTAATTTTATTATAAGAGAAGTGGGAGTAACATGTAACATAAAAATAAAATACATCAATACAACTATAAATGGCAAAAAAAAGATACATGTTGGGAAGAAAAAGAAAAGAAGGCACTCTTTTCAGCATAATAATAACGACCAAACTTGGCCTTGAGAAGAACTGAGAAAATTCAGCTCCCCCCCACCCTCTGCTGCGGAGGGGATGGGGGCAGGGGAGACGGAACACTTCAGCTATTGTCAGTCTTGGTGTAAGTGTGGCCTTTTTTTCTCTTCCCTTTGAAATCTTTGTTACAAGGGATGGCTCCCCGAGCGGTGTGAGGGATATATTCAAAAATGAGGGTGACGTAAAAACCAAAGGTAGCCACAAGATAATTTTTTGAATAAAAAAGCTTTGTCTTCGGAAAGATTTAGAAATCCTTTAGTCCAACCCCCTATTTTACAGAGGAAACTGACCAACCCCATCCCCTTCCCGACTGCCCGCAGAGAAGCCCTCGAGTTGCAGCTGAACCTGTACAAAACACAAGTGGGGCTTTCGCGTCATGTGGGCTGAACTTTTTCAAGCTCCGCAATAAAGCCCCTAGAGTAGTTTAGGGGATCCCAACCTTCCATTCTCTGGACCCCTTGGCTTTTGCAAACCTTCCCCTGCCCCACATTCAATGTGAAAAGAAATAAACGGAGAGTTTACCGTTCATATGCTTACAAGAAATACAACATAATCATTTACCAAATATTCCCCGCACGCCCCATGACCACGCCTATAATCGCGATTCTCCTCTCCCCTGGATCGTAGGTGTCCACAGGAGGGGGAACCGCTGGTGTAAGTCCAGTCACTGACGTACTAGCTGGGTGACCCAGGAAAAGTCTCTTGCCCCGCTCAGCGCCCCAGGCTGCGTTCTGAGACCAGTAAATTGTACATTAGTGGCCAGTCTGCATCGATGGCGAAGGTTTCCTTCTTCCAAGGAACGAGGAGTTCCCTACTCTGATGAAATCACAGCTCTGAACCAAATGGAAGGGAGGGGTGGGGGGGGAGAGAAAAAGAGGGAGAGGGGGAGAGGGAGAGGGAGAGAGAGGGAGGGAGGGGGAGAGAGGGGGAGAGAGAGGGAGAGAGAGAGAGAGAGAGACAGAGAGACAGAGACAGAGAGACAGAGAGAGAGAGACAGAGACAGAGACAGAGAGAGAGAGACAGAGAGACAGAGACAGAGACAGAGACACAGAGAGACAGAGAGACAGAGACAGAGAGAGACAGAGACAGAGACAGAGAGACAGAGACAGAGAGAGAGAGACAGAGACAGAGACAGAGACAGAGACAGAGACAGAGACAGAGACAGAGAGAGAGAGAGAGAGAGAGAGCCACCCCCGCCCGCCCACCCAAGGGGGCCGGGAAGGGGGCGGCTCTTTGCTCCCAAAATCTTTGGTGTCTATAGGAGGGCCCCGACTAGATCGGTCCCAGGAGCTGCTCTGCGGAGAGCTCACTACCTAAAGGGAAAAGTCCCGCGCTTGAGGGAGCGAGGCGTCGCCTGGTAGGGACACCAAGAGAAGCCGGTCAGGTTCCCTCCTCTGCTCGCCTAGCCCCTCCCTCTCCAGAAAGACCTGATGCGTTCCAGAGCCAGGCGGAGTTGCCCGCGCCCTCTGGAGCCCCCGTCCCCCCACTTCGCCAGCCAACAGGTGCTCGAGCCCCTGGTCCCCAACTCCGGCAGCGCCCGTCTTCCTCCCCTTCCCTGCCTCACGCGCTCACTCACCCACGGCTCGGATGCGGAAGCCCCGGGGCGGGCGTAGTGCCCGGCGCAGCCAGGCGTCCCGCAACACCTGCAGGCTGCCGGGCGGCCCGTGTACCAGTAGCACCCCGCGCCTCAGCCAGCCCTGGAAGGCCAGCCGGGAGGCCGCGCGGGCCAGGCGCGCGTTCCAGAAGCAGCGCGCGTTGGCACGACGGAAGGCACGGAAGAGCGCACGGCCTCCGGGCTCCCCATCTTCTGCCTCCGGCGACCCCGGGGCCCCAGCTGGCAGCAGCTCGTCCAGGCTCGCGTCGGCTGCCCCGGGCTCCAGCTCCGGGTCCGGTTCCGGCGCCCCGGCAGCGCCCCGGTCCCGCTCCTGCCGGCACAGCACCAGCGCCAGCGAGCCCGGGGCAAGCTGCACGGGGCGCGCCATGTCGCCTGCCCCGCAGCCCCTGCGCAGCCCCGGGCCAGCCCGCCCCGGCGGCCGCCCCGCAGCTCACAACCCGCAGCCCGCAGCCGGGGGATCGGCTTACTGGGCAGCAGCGGCGGCTGCCTAGGGAACGCGACTTTGGGGGCGGGGCCCAGGGCTCCGGGGGGCCGGGCTGGGGGCGGAGGCGGGGACCCGAAGGACCCCGCCAGGGGGCGGGAAAGGGGCGGAGCGGGGCGAGGCGAGCGAGCAAGTGGGCTGGGGCTGGAGCCATAAGTCCACTGAGTGTGGGGGGAAAATGGGGGTTCAGCAGAAGGGAAGGGGAGCCCCCTGCCCAGGAAAGGGCCCGAACGTGGCCCTGAGAACTAAGACGGTTAGAAAGGTCAACTTCCAATGGTGACCTTAGAATACAGAACGTCGGAACGTTGAACCCAGAATTTCAGGGTGAAAGCACCTTCCAATGCAGAATGTTGGAACATTCTGTTCTAGAATGTTGAGCGTAGAGTGTCACAGCTGAAAGAGATCTCAGAAAAGGGGTTCCTCATCTGGGGTCCGTGAATAGATTTCAGAGGGGCCGTAACTTGGATGAGGAAATAATTGCAGCCTTAGTTTACTAACCTCTCAGTGTAGCATGTCCTTCAAATAGGAATGTCGATAACAGACGTTCTGAGAAGGGATCCATGGGGGTCACTAGACTACCAAAAAGGTATCTGACACACAAAAAGGTTACACACACACACACACACACACACACACACACACACACACACACACACACACACACACATCTGCCTTAACGACGCTGAATGGAGAATGTCAGAGCGAGGAGAGCTTAGACCTCAGAATGACCTTAGAACATGAAATGTCAGAGCCGGGAGGGTCCTCGAAACCATCTAGTGGACACCCTCTATTGAGGGAAAAGGAAACTGAGGGTTGGAGAGAAGGGACTTACCCAAAGGGTATAGCTAGTTAGTGTAGAACTCGGGCAGCCAGCCTCCTGACTCCTATTCTAGTATTTTTCACTACGTTGCTGATCAGTCCTTCCTCTCCTCTCATCTGCCTCAAATATCATCCTCATCCTTTGGAAGCACACGTTTGGCCCCCCAAGGAAGATCCATTGTTCTTGGTAGCTCAGTGGGACGATATAAACATTTTTTAAATCTAACTTCCTCATTTTGCAGGAAACTGACCAACCCCATTTCTTCCCGTGCTGCCCCTAAACCCTTGAGTCTCAGCTGAGTCGTCATAAAAAAGGATTTTTCCCATAAAAGCTAAGCTGCTTCAAGCTAAAGCTCCCCCAGCTCATGAGTGAGGGGCATGGAGTCCCACAAGGGCCTATCCTATGTCATTAGGAGAAGCACCCACAGAACAGAGGAGGGTAGGAGCTCAACCTCCTGTGATCATATAAAACTCAAATCTTCAGCATGGTGAAAGGAAGAAGGGACTAGAGGCTAGTAAGCTGTGTTCTGGTCCCAATTCTGATGGCAACTTTTTGTGACTTTGGGCAAATCATGTCCACTCCTCTGCGCTTTAGTTTCCTCTGGTCAAATCCAGGAGATTGAATTAGAGTCTAACAACTGAACACACATTTACAAAGGTCTACTGTGCCCAGAACATCGTATTAGGGGCACAGTGCACATTGTGAGGATCCACTGTGCCCAGAGCTTTGAGCTTTGTCCTAGGATGGGAGGGACAGGTTGTTAAGCATAACCTAATGAACGTGTAATACATCTGGGAGTTCCTTCCATCTCTAACATTCTGTGACTTGAAGGATTTGGAGGTCGGTGCCACCACTGGGGCGGACAATTGCCATAGGGCTTTCATGGGGTTACAGAACCAAAACACCCAGGCCCAGTAGTGGGGTATCCAGGACACCCCAGGATGTGAAGGAAGCAAAGGGACCTCACTTGGCAGGATGGGGACACATCTCTATCTAGCCAATTGCTGTACGAAGGGATGTTGGTGATTCAGAATCATTGGCTCTAAAGCTGGAAAAGATCTTAGAGACTGTATTGTCCAACTCTCCCACTTTTTAGATGGAGACTTTGAGGCCCAGAGAGAGGAAATAATTTACTCAAGATAGACTTGAGCTCAGGTCTTCTCACTGCAAAAAACAATGTTCTTTCCACTATAACATAATATTTGCACTATAAACTGCCTCAGTGCCTAGGAGGAAAATGTTTTGAAAACTAAACCACTATTAAAATACAAAAGTTCCCCTTCCTAACTTACTATTTGTGTGACCCTGGGCAAGTCACTCAACCTATTTGCAATCCACTCCTGTATCTTTGCCAAAAACAAAACAAAACAAAACAAAAACAAACAACAACAACAACAAAAAAAAATAACAGAGGCAGCTAGGTGGCGAAGTTGATAGAGCAGCAGCCCTGGAGTCAGGAGGACCTGAGTTCAAATTCGACCTCAGACACATAGCACTCACTAGCTGTGTGAGTCTGGGCAAGTCACTTAACCCAGATTGCCTCACCAAAAAAAAAAAAACAAAAAAAAAACCTCCATGGAAAAAATAGTCCAAGGGTTCACAAAGAGTTGGACAGGACTGAACAACAATAACAAAACAGGACTTGGACCTAGGCCCTTTTTTCCCCAAGGGCAGCTCTCTGTACACCCATACATTTTCCCAGAGCACATCTTTGTTTTTTCAGGGGATTGGAGGCAACAGACCTATGATTTCATCTGTGTAGGGAATTCCTGGTGAGGAAATTCTCTTCTCTGACACAGGCATCTGCTTTGCAAATTATAGTCTTAAAGAGCTGTCTGAGGGCAGACAGAGGTTGTTATACAGTCACACAGTCGGTGTATGGCAGAGACAACCCCGAGCCAGGCCCTCCTGACTCTGCAGGCCCCTGGCTAGCTTCGAGGGGACGCAGCCTCTCTTGGTACCATCCTTATTATTTGCAAAGTTTTGCTGAAGGCAGAGGACTGGGGTCCACCCTGCTGTTGTAGGCTCCATGAATCTATACCTCCACTCCCCTGCCCTAGAGTCAGGATCATTCCCTTTTCTTTCCTGTGCTAAGGATGGTCTTCACCTGGGGCGGAAAACCTGTTTGGTGACCTGAGGCACAAAGGAGAAATCTGACCTGAGAGCAGAGAAGCCAGGAACTCCCACAGCTGATTCTGATCTGTGGCCTTGGACAATGCCAGCATTTAACCTGCGGGTCTCCCCCCTGGGAAGAGGAAGATGGCAGCGAGATCTTGTGCGGGAGGAGGACTGAATATGCTTAGAACTGAACGTGCCAGAGGCAAAGACTGCCCCTGCCCTTCTCCCAGATAAGAAAAATACCAGCCTCTGGCAAGTCCCAGGACTCTGACACACTGGAATAGTCAGTGCCAGTCTTTCTCTCTGCCCCACCCCCTCTCTTTTTCTCTCTCCCTCCCTCCCTTTCTCTCTCCTCTTCTCCTCCTTCTCTCCTTCCTTCTTCCTCTCTTCATCTTCACCCCTCTCTTCTTTCCTTCCCTCTCTTCTTCCCCCCCCCCCCCCCCTCCGTCTACCTGCCTCTTTCTCAATTTGACCACTGATTTTCAAAGAATATAGAGCCAATACTTAAAAAACATACCCATGTGCCTAGATTTAGGGGAGTATGGGAAATCTATCCACCACCAAATATCCCAATCTATCTTTAACTCAGTGGTTGCATCTTTGAAGGATTCCTGTGGCTCAGAGGTTGTCAGTCCTTACTGTTTGAAAGGCATTGTGCTAAGCTAAGGTTAGTGACTTGCCCAAGGTCACAAACTGTCTGATGGGGGATTTGAGCCCAGGTCTTCCGGACTCTGAGTCTACAAATTCATTCCTTTCACCAGGTATTCATAACCATTTTAGATCACGAATCTGGTGAAACCTAGAGACCTCTTCTCAGGATCATGTCTTTAAATGTATAAAATAAATCGTCCAAGATTACAAAACAAACCAATTAAATTAAAATACAGTTATCAAATTTCTTTTTTCAAAACAAGTTTCTGGACCCTAGGTTGAGAGCTCCTTCCTGTAATACACAAAGCTGCCTCAAAAAAAAAAAAATAGAAAAAGAAGCCCATGGTACTTTGAATTCTTTCCCATGTTTTAGAGCCCACATTGAATGATGCCTCTTCCAGAAAGCCCGTGCTGAACCTGCTCACAGGTGATAGTCTACCCCCTCAGACTTCACAAAGCACTTTGTTCTGTACGTGTTCAATGAATTTTATCAGGAATTGTCGCCATATCCAAATTATCTATGTTTGTGTCTGATCCCCATCCTAGGCATTAGCTGGGGTTGGACTCAGGAAAAGGCCTGGTAGAAAAGTGTATGTCCTATCAGGGTGACTCTGAGCAAACCCTGGCCCCTCTCTCGACCCCCTTTCTTTCTCAACTCTAAAATAAACAGGTTGGATTAGATAACCTCAAAGGTCCCTTCCATCTTTAACAAACTGTGAATTAATCAGATGGATTCCAGTTACTAGCTGTATGGCCCTGAGTTAGTCATTTCTTTCTGAGCCTCAGTTTCCTTATTAGCAAAATAAGGCAAATACTTGTAAGGCAGGCTTGTTGTGAAGGACAAAAGAATGAAGATATGTTAAAAGTGCTTTGCAAATCTAAAATCACTAATTCCTACTTTCTTTCTTTTTTGCTAGGCAATTGGGGTTAAGTGACTTGCCCAGGGTCACACAGCTAGTAAGTGTTGTGTGTCTGAGACCGCATTTGAACTCAGGTCCTCCTGACTTCAAGGCCGGAGCTCTGTCCACTGCGCCACCTAGCTGCCCCTAATTCCTACTTTCTTTTAAAATTCAGCTAGGACAGCAAGATGGTGCAATGGGCTGGGCCTGAAGTCAGGAAGATCTGAGTTCAAATTATAGCCTCAGACACTTACTACCTCTGTGACCCTGAACAATCTAGTTAACCTTTGTTTGGTTCAGGTTCCTCATCTGTAAAATGGGGATAATAATAGCATCAGAGTTGTGAGGATCTGATGAGATAGTAATTGTAAAGCACTTAGCCCAATGCCTGGCACATA